ATTTAGAAGTTGCTTCTGCCTGGACCGGCCCTCAAACAATTTATTTGATTTGCTTCAATGAATTCAAGAAAGAGAAAGGCTTTGGGCCATGTTTCATCCTGTCAGAACATTAAAGCACCAAGAAATTACCTTAAGTACCTGTGTGATGGATTTAATTAGGCCAAGTCCACAATCAGCCCAGAGGAGCAGCTAACACAGACTTTCCAGCGCTCCGGTTCCAGTCCAGGTCTCCCCCAGGCCCCCATCCCCACTCCCAACCCTGGGGTCTGGGAGTCACCCCTGAGGGACAGGACATCCTCTTTGCCCAGCTCATTAGCAGTGGCCTTCGCCTTCTCCTTTTCTTCCCTGTGAGCCGGGCTGGACCTGCTGTTAGTCATTTGGCCACCAGAGCTCACCAGTCTGTGTGAGTGAGTTCGGTGCCTCTAATGGTTCTGGAGAGGGCCTGGCAGCCGGTCCCAGACCTCGTTCGAGATGACTTTAATGCTTGTTTTTCCTCAAGTGCAATGGAGTCCCCGAGCAAGGCCTCGATCCTTCTCCATTAGGGGAAGCTCCTTGGTGTCTGTGGAAAACCGGCCGATTGGCGTGAGATTTCCAGTTCCTTAGTAATTGCACTTGGACGGGGAGAGGGAGGGGCAGGCTGCACAATGTATTTCAGTGCCTGCCCGTAAAAGTGCACCGATGTTCTTCTCTCCATCTTTAGGAACACGTTGCTCTAGGAGAAGTTGGGCATGTCTCTCGTGCATTTCTTAGAGAGAGGTGAAGGAGGGAAGTGGCTTATGGGCTCAGTCCTTTTTCACATTCAAGCACTCAAGTTTGAAAAAAGACAGTCAGTCCTTTTCCTCTGTAAACACGCCAGTATCACACCGTCTGCTTCCCCCTGCTGTTTCTGGATGGTTTTAAATGGTTCCACTTGAGAGTATTAAATTACCTCTCCCGAGAGAAATGATTTCCCCCCAAGCCCATCCCTCACCTCTTCCTATGAAGCATTAAATGATGCTGCATTTTACCTCCCTCTTGCAACAGAATTTAGCAAGAGAATGAGTCCCGGAATAAACATGCCCCAATTCTTCTCTTTTCAAATTAAATTCGTGAGGTAGCTTACCTGTTTAATAACGTTCAAAGGTTTTTGTGCCATTTGTCTTCTACGTAGACATCTGCTTTGTTTTTAAAGCTCCCTGCCATTGCGTCAATACTGACTCATAGCCACTTGATAGGACAGAGGTTTCTGAGACAACCAACCTTGACCAGAATAGAAATACTCCTCTTTCTCCCATGCAGAGGTTTCAAACTGCCGGCCTTGCTCTGAGTAGCCCAGGGGGTAGCCCACCATGCCACCAGGGCTCTTCCCGCCGCCGCACCCCCCCCCATTTAAATTATTCCTTGAGAAATCTTCTAGCTCATAAACCAGAACCAAGTTGCAGAAAAAGTATTCGCCATTGGCATTAGTGCCACCCCACCCCTACCCCCAACTCTGGACTGGGAGTACAGTTCTGACCTGGCACACTGGAACGCAAGGGTCGGTGTTCACATGGACAACCAACAGGTGTGTGTCAGTGTCTTAGGACCGGTACTCTCAGAGCTGCTGTGGGTTAAAAGGACTGTTCATTCCAGTGGTGCTGGGCAAAGCAAGGAGGAGGCTAGGAGGCAAGAGGTTGAGAATACAAGAACAGGGGTGACTTTCTGTCTTCTGTTTCTGTCTTGAAGTCCACTCTCCTTCTGAAGTTCCCCCAAAATATATGTTGAAATCTGTTTGATAGCAATCATCTTTTAAGTCTTAAACAGGGCAAAGACAAGAAGGAGTCATCTGGATGAGGGAGGCCATCGGCATGAGGCCATCAGTGTCCCAAGAATTCAGTCATGAGGCTAAATGACAAAGTGTGGAACACGGTGGAAATTCATCACAGAAGCGTGATTGGTGGCAGATGAATTCATCACAGTTGCACCCTTGGGGAAGAGACCCTGGTGGCCTATGTACGCTAACACGGATAAGCAAAGTTTCAAAGATTGGTTCGGGGCCCTCAACCACTTTGTTTAGGTGTTGGCCATACATTCCTACCTGAGCGCGCCAATAGCCAGCAAGAGCATGCCCGCCCAGGAAGTCCCTCAGAGCAAGAATGTCCCTCCCTGAACTGGCAAGGGAGATGCCACCCACTTTGCCTGAGGACAAAGGTTTTTTTATTTTTTTTTTAACATTACCAGTCAGGAGACTGTCGTTCCAACAAAGGAATGCAGCATAGTTTAAAATCACGAAATGTGTGCATCAGGGCTGTAGCCTTTCACCAAGCTCATTCAATCTGTAGGCTAAGCAAGTAATCGGTTGCCATGGACTATATGAAGAAGAATGTGCAGCAGGATTGGAGGAAGGCTTATGGACAACCTTCCATATATATAGATACCACAACCTTGCTTTCTGAAAGCCGAGAGAATTTGAAGTACTTACTGTTGAAGACCCAGGACTGAAATCTCTCGTTTGGTCTACAGCTCAATCTAAAGAAGACACACATCCTTATAACTGGACCAACAGAAAGCATCATAAGTGGAGAAACGATTGAGCACAGCAAGGGTCGCATTATACTTGGCTCTACAAACGACGACTATGGAAGCAGCAGTCAAGAAACTGAACAACTTATTTGTGTTTGTTTTACTAGTTTTATTGACACATAATTCACGTACCATGCGATTTCATATCAAAGCGTTGTACAATGTTCACCACAGTCAGCCCCTAACCAGTTTCTTCCTTCTGGAGCTCATTCCTACAAGCTGCCCATTTCCTTCCAACTTCCCCTCCCACACCCCAGTAATCCAGTTACTACCTCTAGAGATCCACCCATCCTGGACTTCATATACTGGAAAAGATACCACCACCCCAAATAAACCAACCCAACAACAGTAGCAAAATAAACCAGAGGAAAATCTCAATCGCAAAGAAAGTAGGAAATGTTAAAAACCTACATGGGTCAAAAGAGAGATCAAGTGGCCAGGTGTTAGTTTACCCTAACCGGTCCTGCGACAATCCACTTCCATTGCACTCTGCACTCCAGCGAGGCTATTCACATCTCGGGCCCGTGGCCAGAGGGAATTCCCTGGAGGCTCAATTCATGCATGTTTGCCCTTCATTTTGTAAAAATATGAAACAACTTTAAAATGGGTCAAAGGGAGATCAAATGATACTTTAACTACCTCTGTCATAATCCATAAGCCACGTATTTCATTGGGCAAATCTACTGCACAAGACCTCTTCCAAGTTTTCAAGAGCAACAATGTCACTTTGAGGACTAAGCTGCCCCTGACCCCAACCCAGATGCTTTGAATTGCCTCGTATACATGCGAACGCTGGACAACAAACAAGGCAGACCACAGAAAAACTGAGCCTTTAAATGCCGGCGTTGCAGAAGATCGACACGATCGTAAACTGCCAGAAAAGGAAACAAATCCACGCCGGATGCAGTACAGCCCTATGCTCCTTAGAAAGAGGCATGGTGAGACTCCATCTCTTGTTGTCGGGAGACACCATGCTTGGTGACGTAGAAGGTTCGCCAAGCAGATGGGTGACTATCAGGGAGAGAAATTAACACCATGGCTGCAACAGTGCACTCAACCAATAACCGAGGACCGCACAGGACCAGGGAGTGCTCAACTCTGAGCACCCAACTGTTCCCACCTGAGTTAGACTCAGCTCAGTGGCAATGGGTTTAGGCTCTCTGTTCCCAGTTTGGGATAAACAGTTTGCTTGCTTTTAGCAGAATTTGTGAATACGATGTAATAACTTGTATTCTTCCTACTATATTGCAAGGAAAACAGGAAAAAACAAACTGTGAAAACATTACCATGAAATTATCTATGGTGGAACTACATAGGAAATCAGCCTCCGGAGAACACCCCCTATCTGAAATTGAGGGAGGGGAGGAAAGGGGTCACTAAGCAGAGTGCTTGGGAGAGAGCAGGAGAGCGGATCAAAGGCATCAATCTGACTTGAACAGTTAAAACCACCGTCAGCAGATTCCCCCCTTTTGATGCAGGCTGGCCCTGATCTGGTTTCCAAATGTTTCTGTATTTTTGGTGTGTCTTGTTTGGTTTGGGTTTTGTTTGTTCCTATTAGGGGGCATCTCAGAGGTCATCGGAGGTCACCCTCTTGAAGTTGTGTTATATGCTTTTTCATTTTTCGGTATATGAAAACCAGGATTGAAGAAGCTAGAGGGACAGTAAGTAGAATAAAGGTTTTAGGGGAAGAAGGGACTGTGGTGGGAGTGGGGGAAGGGGTAAAAGGGAGACAAGACTGTGTTGAGTCCATGTGGAAAAAGAATGTTTGAAAAAGGATTGTGGTAGCAATTGTGCAATTCTGCTTGATGTGACTGGACTATGGCAGGATATGATGTATGTATTCCATCCCCATTAATAAAAAGTGTGAAAGAAAGAGAAATCATCTATGTACTACTGTATGTGTGTACAGTCAGAACTTTTGGAAGCCCAGATGCAACCTAAAGTCAGGAAATGCTTGCCCAGATGACATGGGAAATCTGTTTGCAGTGTCCGTAAGCCAACTTGATCACTATCTGACACAACTGTGCTTTGCTTATCCTTTGGAAGCCGATCTTTCCCTAGCATAGTGTGGGCATGCTGATAAGTAAAAGAATTTTTTCCCCAAAGCCCGTGCATTCAGCAGCCTGTTTAACGTTCTGGAAATTCAGAGACCTCCATTTGACTTGCCTGTTGCCTGGGCCTAGTGGTCCCCGAACCATGAGCTTCCCCCCAGTAGACACTGGTCAGTTTATTTGGAACCTGTGTCAGGCTCTGCCAGGCCTGCTGCTGAGTCCGAATCTGGTCCCAGGGACGGCGTGACTATTGTTTCCCATGTTTTATCTCTTGTTTCTGGAGCAATAATAAAACCAAGTCTAGGTACGGACAGATGAACAAGGGCTGTTCTGATACTTAGAGCTATTTCAGCAAGGCACCATTTTAAATTCTAATTTCATCTGCTTCTCCTCTCTGCCTGGCTTTAGGGTCTTTGATGATGGCCGCTGCATTTTAAACTGTCCTTCATGGAAGTATGAATTCAAGAATCAGTGCCATCCCTGTCACCACACTTGCCAAGAATGCCAAGGGAACGGCCCTTCCAACTGTACCTCTTGTGGAGTCGGTGAGTGTCTTCGGGGTCCCTTAAGAAGCAGAACCGATGAATTATTCATACACTGATAGAGACAGAGGATATATGAATGTGTGTGTGTGTATATATGTATATATACACTATATAGGTATATGAATATATACATACATATACTGGTGTGTTCTGTCTCTATCAATGTAGACATATCTGTATCTCTAGATAGATGGGTAGATCAATAGAGACAGATATTTTAAAGGAATTGGCTCACCTGATGGTGGGAACTGGCATATTTCAAATCACTTTTTGCCAAAGTGAAACACTGGCGATTTCTTCAGGCTTATGTCTCAAAATCAAGAGTGGGAGTTCTGGCCGAATATTTATTTTCTGTCTGGATTCAGAACACATTTTAAGGAAACTCCCTCTTGTTTCCTTAAGGCCATCCACGGATTGAAAGAGACCCACCCACATTATGGAGGGTAGGGTAATCTGCTGCACGTGGCCTGAGTGATTTGCTCACGCGTATCCACTTCACAGCAACACGTAGACCAGTGTTTGAGCTGTGGGGATCTCAGCCCAGCTAAGGTAGCACATGAAAGTAACTCTCAGCTGCTACAGCATGATGAATGCAGTCAAGGTCATTGATTTGTACATATAAAAACTGTTGCATCGGCAAATGTTCTATCAAATATATATTTCACACACACACACAAAATAACAAAAAAATAGCACAATGAGTGAGTCTGCTCTCTTGCTCCTTTTTTCTTGCCTCAAACTTATCCTTCTGTCATTATTTGGCTTTTCTCAGAAACCTTGTCTCTGAGATTGAGGAGGGCAGGTGGGGTAGTTTGTTTATTGTGCCAACCTGGCCAATAAACATGTGCGGTTCATGGAAGGGTGGAGAGAGAAATGGCTTGGTGAGCCTCGTCTTTCTAGTTCTCGGGTCTCTTGCTTTCTGATGGTTGGACCAGGGTGCAACTGCCTTAGCCAGTTCCCTGCTTCAGCTGGCAAGGCTCACTTCCTGCAAGACATCCCCAAGGAGAAGCCACATGGACCTACCCCGATGCAGCCCTGGGTGCTGGAGCAGCCGTGTGGAGACCCCTGCCAGCGCTGAGATGCTTATACATTCACTGACTCGGCTTTCCTCCTGCAGTCGGTATCATAGTGTGTGTTTTGTGAGATGGAGGAGGACTTTGTGGATTGGTGTTGGACATATGGGTTAATGTTGGACTTGTGGGCTTGGGCAGCACTGGGCTGGGATATTTTCTTGATGTGCATTTGCCCTTTATATAAAACTCTCTCTTATACATGAGTTTCTGTGGGTTTGTTTCTCTAATGTACCCAGACGAACACAGCAGATCATATGGTAAAGGTCGTTAGAGATAGTGCACCCCATAGGGCTTTGGCTTAATGTCAGGACATGGAAAACCTCCTTCACATGATTGCACACTCAGATTCACTGGCCCCGAGGACACACGAGAGAAGTCAGGTTTTTCCAGGGAAGGAGAATGAAGGCCGTGGAAACGTTACTCAGAGAGCTAGAGAAACGGCAAAGCTACAATGTGGAGTAGAAATGAAGCATCAGGAAGTGAAGGAAGACAGAAGACGCATTCAGCCGTCAGGAGGAACATTGTCTTCACACACATCTGTTCCACCACTACTACAAAGAGCTCGGTGCCCCCGAAGCAAAAACCTCTCCCTCCTTCACGTGTTTTTTTTCTTTCTTCCTTTTTTTTTTGTAGTTTTCTTGACATAATTTTTCTATTTCCATTCTTACAACCCTGCCTTGGCTTTATTAGAGGAATGCAATTTGTTATAGTTAGAATTTGGGTTGAAGGGATAGATTTTGAAGGGCTCTGCCATTTAAATTACATGGATCCTGCAAAGAGTGGTCACTTGATACCTTGACCATGGCCAGATTCTCTCTGAGTCTGAACCAGAACACTGTTGAGCTTTGGCCATATTGCTGATGGCTTCCGGTATGGATGATCTTTCACAAAGCCCGTAGATTTAAAAACCTTGCAGAAACCCTTGGCTCCTTGCCTGGGGTCTCAGAACTTATTTCCCCCCCTCAGGATATAAAGGAACAGCTGGCCAGTAGCGGGGTTGATATTTGTTATTAGGCATTAAAGCTTTCACAGGAGACATGAGACAAAAGTTAAAATGCGAGGAATTCTGAAAGAGGCTCAAATTAGTTTTCACTCATACTGAAGAGTAATTCAGTGCGACCAGCGTGTTTCTGGGCAGCTGATGTCATTACAAGGAAAGGTTAACCAATGTAAAGGCATTGGATGCCCGTAGGAGGAGAGAATGATGAAATGTAGGAAGGGAAAGAGACAGCTAGGAAGAAGAAAGACTGAAAGACCCTGAAAATAAATTCCAGGAAGTTTATTTTAAAATTTCACTTACTGAGCGTTTGTTAAAATCTATAGGATTTTAGGGGCCTTATAGGATGGGGTCGAAGTGCCCCTGCGAGTTTCCAAGACAACATTTCTAAAGCAAGCCTCATCTTTCTCTGGAGGAGCTGCCGGTGGCTTCCAACTCTTGTCCTTGTCATTACCGCCCAATGTGTAACACACTGAGACCCCCAGGGTTTGACTCATAGCAGTCAGTTTGGTTCTTTGGTTATAACACTAGCCAACCACCCACTGTGGCTTCTAATGTGGTCTATCGAATTTAGTTCATAATAATGTGTTACTATTGGCCCTGGTCAAGAAAACTACAAAAAAAGGAAGAAAGAAACAGAAACAAACGTGAGGGAGGAAGAGGATTTTGCTTCGGGGGCACTGAGCTCTTTGTGTGGTGGTGGAACGATTTGGACAGGGGTAGCAATAACGGGGCACATTCCTGAGTCTAATCACTGACAGTGAATTACACATATAGAAGTTTTTTTGGAAAAAAAAGAATGGAATTGGAGAACATTCCCTCCAGTATCTGAGTCCATTGCCGTGCATATTTATTCAAGGATAAAGGATTCAGTTGGATATTTGGGCATGCTATCAATATTGCCAAATACTAAAGCACGCACTTACTCATCCAATCATTCAACAGATCTCCTGCCTGAAGTTCCACACCGTGAGTGACTTAAACTACCATACTGTCATCTCACAGTTTGGGAGACAGAAGCCCTCATTCAGGTTCAGTAGGAGCATGATCGCGCTGAGGCTCCAGAAGAATCATCTGCTCCTCCTCGCTTACCTTCGGGCAGCCTCGGGTATTCTTGGTGTCCACTGTAACCTAAGGCCTTTTTGGCTTTGTGTTAGTCTGGGTACTTTAGAGAAACAAATCCACAGAAACTCATGAATAAGAGAGAGTTTTATATAAAGGTTAAGTGCGCATCAAGAAAACATCCCAACCCAGTGCTGCCCAAGCCCACAAGTGCAGAAGTGAATTTGGGCTGATTTAATCCACTGACTTGCAGTTTCTGTATTCGCATCACGGGGTTGTGATGGGTGGGGCAGCTGCCATCCAGTGGCTCTGACTCACAGAGCCTATCGAGATAACAGAACGAAGCACTGACCAGTTCTGCACCTTCCTCACAACCACTGCTCCATTCGAGGCCATGGTTGGTTTTTAAAATCATTTCATTAGGGGCTCATACAATTCTTATCACAATCCATCCATCCATCCATCCATCCATCCATCCATCCATCCATCCATCCATCGTGTCAAGCACATTTGTACTTTTGTTGTCATCGTCATTTTCAAAACATGTCCTTTCTACTTGAGCCCCTGGTATCAGCTCCTCATTTTTCCCCCTCCTCCCCTCCCTCGTGAACCCTTGATCATGTATAAATGATTATGACTTTTTCAGGCCTCAGTGTAACTTAAGGAGAATTTTTACTACATCTTCAAAGAGACAAAACAACACACAGACACAGGCACTTTGTCGGGATGAGGGAGGCCCTCGTTGAGCCCATGGTGAATGCCCTGTTCATCCGTACGCTCATCAGACCTGCATTTTGAATGACGCTCAGAGGCTCTGTATTATCAAGCGATAGAGCACATGACGAACGACACGAACTTTGATTTTTCTGGATAACCCTCAGAGCACCGGGTACAGAGACTGTCAAGATGGTTTTGTGCCCTTGGCAAAGGACATCAAATGTGCCCGTTGATGCACACGGGAGGGGAAAAAACCCATATTTTTTGTTTTATTTCAAATAACAAAGGGAGGAAAATAATGTCATAAAAATACACACAAACCCACCTTGATAAATATTTCCGGATGGTCCACCCTGCCAGGCTGATGCCACCAGCCCAGGAGGCACCCCCCTCTGTGCATTTCCCCTGCTCCCACTGTGCTCCACACCTCCCAGCCGTCCGGAGCCAGCCCAGTGGGGTGGGGAACTGTACCACTGCCATTCAGCTCCTCGAAGAGCAGTATTTCTACAGCAGGATTTCACACACCCTGCCCACTTCAACACACCACATTGCATGGTTTGGGTGCATCTATATAAACTTAGGTTAATTACCTGGCATTTAGTTTGCTTTGCTACTATTTTAATTCAATTTATTTCTGACACTTATCAAAGTTGGCACCTCATTAAGCCTAGCCCTTCAGACACTGCCTGAATAGCCGACCACTTAATTTTCAGGACAGTGTGGGTGACTCTGCTCCTCCCAAGGACACGCTCAGGGATGGTGATACCCCGACTTCCATTCTGCACAGATGCAAACTCCAGCAGGGTGCGAGTAAGCAACCTCTAGGTTCATCTGTCTTCAAACACCAAACTCACTGCTATCGAGCCAGTGCCAACCCATAGAGACCCCACAGGACAGGGTATAACTGATCCTGAGTTCCCGAGACTGCCAGTCTTTAAGGGAGTAGAAAATCCGTCTTTCTCCCATGGAGCAGCTGGTGGTTTCCAACGGCTGACCTCGCAGATCAAAACCCAATGGGTAACCTTTACGCCACCAAGCCACCTGCATCTGTATTAGTCTTGATTATA